TGCTAGACATGAATCCGTTGCGCCAGAAAGCGTCTGCGCGTCGTCGCGTCGGCCTTGGAGCGCGGCAGGTATCACCCGGGCGCTGGAAGAACGGGACGCGGCGAAGAAAAAATTTCAGAGGGGAAAGTACTTCTGTTAGAAGTGGAAAACCCAAAATTCTAAGAAGGCGCACCTTCAACTTTGAAGGCCCATAAAATCTTTCGTATGCGACATTTTGGAAAGCTGTAAAAAGTTTCAGAAACTTCAAATATTTCTCTAACAAAACAGTATAAAAAGTTTAGTGATTGTCCCCTTTTTCAAAAAATTGTCCCGTTCGAACATTTTTCGTGCAAAAGCGAGTTTTTGGGCTTTCAGCGACCATAACTCACTTCATTTTCATTTCTGTGATGCACTTTTTTCATGGGGTGAAAGTACAGGATTTGCTCTTTCTAACAAGCCCAAACCGTTTTTCAAAGTTCATTTTTCGAGAAAATCACACGTTCGAACATTTTGGGGGGTTTTGCCGAACACTTTTTTGAAATCGCGAGTTTTTGGGCTTTAAGCGGGCATAACTCACTTCATTTTCATTTCTGTGATGCACTTTTTTCATGGGGTGAAAGTACAGGATTTGCTCTTTCTAACAAGCACCAAACCGTTTTTCAAAATTCATTTTCCGAGAAAATCACACGTTCGAACATTTTGTTCCCATAGGTTTTTGAGCAGCACATGCGAGTTTTTGAGCTTTCAGCAATAATAACTTCCTTCAAAGAACTTGTTGGGGAGGGGCGAAGACATTTTTGAAGACTACGAGATTTCTGCTTTCTTATGTGTTTTACCGTTGTCTGGAAGAATCGTCCTCAGAAAATTAGGTCCCGAAGAACTTTAATTTCAGCCCCGAGAAGTCAAACCTTTCATAGGGATGCATTCAACTGTTCTTTATTCCTCAAGGAAAACACCGTAATTTGCCTAAAACTGTCTCTCTGTGCATAATTAATCGAATCTAATGCGGTCTGCACAAACAATTCTTGCCCTCGGATACGCCACGCACGCGCCTGTGGCTGGCAGTCCTCGAAATTGCGACCCCCTTCCGACCAAAATGCGACCCCTTCGTTCGAACAGTTCGAACGGACGGTTGACCCTGATTAGGGCCCAATCTTGGCGCGGTGGGTCAGTGCACGCCCACCGATCATCTGATCACTCGCCGCAGGTCTATACGTGGCGAGTGATTAGATAGCTGAGAGAGCGTAGTGTTGAAGAGGGCACAGCGATGAGAGTCGCATCAATGCTCAAATCAACGGGCAAGGAAGGGGTCCCATTTCTCGGGTTCTGGGCCGTTTCTCATGGTTCTTCCTTCTTTCGTGTACCACTCACCATCCCTAGGTTAATTTGAAATGGGTTGCTTTTTCATCGTGAATTCGTCCTTTAAATCGAGCAACGCCACCACAAGTTTTCAGTCACCCCGGATACGACTGTTGCTGCGCCGATTCGGAAGCTCCAGCCAAGTCAAAAATATGAAAATCAGGAAGTAAGCAGTAAACGAGTATTGTATCAGAAGCGGGCTGACTGTGTGAACGAAATGTCCTCCGTTGCAGCATTCAATTTTTTCAAAAACGTTCAGAGCGGAACCAAATACTTTGACTGATATTTTTGCTTGCACTCGAACGAGAGCTAAAAACATGGGAAGAAAGCTAATCCTGCCATAAACTACCATCCCCTAGTCAAATTAAACCA